TACTTGTTGAACAACAAACGAGTTTGTTCGTGAATGTAAATAAACATGTTCAACTATGTTCATATTTAGTTCATTTATAAGCTTTGAGCTATTAAAAATTATTGAAAATTGTTTATTTTCTAATTTGAACGAACATGTTTCAGTTAGAATCGAGCCGAGTTCGAGTTATTCATTGATTACATTGGTTCATTTACAGTTCTTGTGAAATAGTATAATGGTAATTATATAATTTGTTATATTTAATAAATTTAAACTTTATAAAAATCTCAGTATATCATGACATATAGAACACTAAAAATTATGGGAAAATAGTTTATAAATATAAAAATATGTCTAAAACACACTAGTGAAAACGGTTTATAAAACTGACACTAGATGATTCCAGAAAACCCACTTGTATAAAGATGTATCAAATCCTTAGGAAATACAAATCTAACAAGAAATTTTTTATTTTTCTACTTATGATGCCCATAAAAATAGGTAAAAATATGTGTAATATATAATGAACTTTGCTCCACAATCTAACAATGATATTTAATAAATCGAGCATAAAAAAAACTTCCAAAAATCGATGAATAGATTAAATATCAAAAACTACAATAACATAAAGTGAACATACAAGGCTTACCAGATTCCAGAATCAAGTTTCAACAAATACAATGGTATATTATAGTAGCAGTTGTGACGAGAGGCCCCTGACTGAGTGCTTTAGATAGTGGTGATTCTCATCGTTCACCCAGCTTGGTTGAAGAATGTTGACGAATTCGTTCCCGTGAGTTTTGCACTAGTATACTTTAAGGGAAGCGGTCGAATTCTGCTTGTCTTTGGATTATTTTCCTCCCGACCTGCAGATACCGGTTGGTTAGGCAGGCGCCCTTGAATTGCTTCTAGTGGGTCCAAGTCAACCGCGCCATCATTTTTGTTTGCCATAAGATTTCTTTAATATTCATGGTGGCACATTTTTTATGTTCACACAATAATTTTTTCATCAATTTAACCTAATTTAAAAGATGTTATAGTGTAATTCACTGCACTTTACTCCTAACTATTTAAAATATGGTTCTAATTAAAATTTTTTAAGATGTAGTATTGTTAGATCTTGATGTGTTTATGGATTCGCACCTTTGAAAACTGCTAAATAAGAAAAGATTTGAGCCAAAAGATAAAGGGGGGAATGACTGAGGAATAAATCTTTCAATATCCAAAGTCCCCCTACATTACAATGATCACCCATATAAATAGAGGTGTTGGTGTACATGTCATAAATAACAAAGCATTCATTATACACATCTCAAGTGATCTTTGATTTTTTCTGTCTTCTTCTAGCATATGTACTATAATTAATATTATTTTGTTAACATAACAATTTTTCTTTTTTCAAGAATATCTTATGTTCCGAAATGGTTTTGTCGGCCAACATAAACGCAAGGCATTTTGATCTTCCTGGGAGAGCTGATTTCAAAGTGGATCGAGTTGAGCTTTGTGGCCTTGTTGGTCTCTTGATTTAATGCTGAGATTCCTTGGTTGAGCATCTATGCACTGATCATCATTTGCAAGCTATTTGACCGGGTTTTCCAGTTGAGTTACTCAGTTGAAATGATCGAGCTGATAATCGGGTTGGTGAGTCATCTAAGTTCACACCTTGAACTGAGTCTAAAAGCTTTCGACGATACAAACATATTAAGTTATTTTTCTATATGAATTTAAAAATTTTATTCGTAGACATCCAATCAAAAAAAAAATTATTTTTCTATATGAATTTAAAAATTTTATTCGTAAACATCCAATAATAATAAAAAAAATCTAGAAACTGATCAATATTAGAATGGGGAAATTCATGAAAAAAAATCAAACGATTCAGCATATGCTTGACCCTAAAATAAGGATATAAGCTAACTACATTGGGACTACTAAGCAAAGGTCGTATATATGGATTCAGAGTTCTTATTTTGTATGGTGCAATTGATTGGATCCACCAACATCATAAGGATATAGAGGAATTCAGTTTCAAGAAGAATCCATCACCAAGGAGAAATGCTAGGAGATTATGTAGTCCATGTTGAGTGAGTTATAACAACAATTATTTTAGGCTGTGAAGCTAATAGGATGGAGAAAGAAACAGAGGGAGATGTTGAAAAGAGAAGGAGAATGATAATTAAAAGCTTCTACTTATATTTATTTTACTTTAAGTTTTATAAGGAAAGCATCTATTTTATATTTTATTTAGTTTAGTTTTTATAAGTATAGGACTAAAGATGATGTATATATCTCTTATTTTTTTAATTATTATTATTACTATTAACTTGTATAACCTTATATTTTAATATCACACAAAATATTGTTGAATAGTTTTAGTAATTATAATTTTCTTTTGTTTTTTAAGATATTATGATTGATGTATTGTAGAATCTAAATCTATCGAGGAGACACACATAAGGAATAGAGCGCGAGAAATAAAGGAAAAGAGCAGAGAAAACATAATAATGAGCAGTAAAATCACGTAATCTTTTGTTAGATATGGCTCATATCTAGGGAGTTGGAGTTTCTTTTGAAGAGGCGTGTCTATTGGTATCAAAGCAACAATTGGTATCAGAGCCTCTTTCGAGGGGAACAGGAGGAGGAGGGGAGGAGATCGACGCAGGAAGAAGAAAGAAGGAGTTCGAGGTCAGACGGAGGCGAAGCGAAGGAATTGCGAACTGTTTCACGGCATTTCGGAGTTCGCGCTTGGGAATTTTTTCTGGCTTCGGTGATTTCAGCCAGAGGAAGTTCGCGAGTTCACAGGAACAGGGATCGCAGACGAGAAGGTTCGCGAGATCGGACCTTGTCCCGCGAACAAAGAGTTCGCGGCGGTGCGGGAGAAATTTCTCTTGCGGGCAGAAGCTCGCGACGCAGAGGAGGCGTTAGTCCAGCGACGCAGAGGAGCGCAACAATCCTCCGATCGGTTCCGCACGAAGTCGGCGGCAAAGGCAGAGGAAGAAGATCCGCGGCAGAGGAGCGCGATTTGTGACAGGAGTTCGCGGACGGCAAGGTTTGGAGTTCGCGGACGGACGTCGAGGTCTTCGGTGCTTGCGATTTGGTGTTTGCGAATCGCGGGAGAAGCAGCGACGATCCGCGACTAGGCCGGGTGAGTTGCCGCAACCGGAGAAGAAAAGCTTTGCACTGCTGCGAAGGAAGGAATCGCGCGGAGAAGAAGGGTTCACGCGATCGCAAGATTCGAGTTTGCAGCATTCCTGTTCGCGGAGCATCTCGCGGGAGCATCTCTGGAGCATTCCTGTTTGTGAGATTTGAGTTCGTGGAGCACGAGAGCAGGCAGTTACAGGAACCGCAAGGGGCTGCGATAGGATCACGATACAGGGGAATAGAGCGCGAGAAATAAAGGAAAAGAGCAGAGAGAGCATAATAATGAGCAGTAAAATCACGTAATCTTTATTCATGAAATGAGCCCTCCATTTATAAAAACTGAGGTTATAAGATTATATTTCGTACCTCTAGTAAAATAGATACAATATGTGGCATTTTGGACAATATATAGTTATATTGTTAGATGCCTGAAATGGCATCCGGTTGGATAGTGATCTGGTGGCTATGCACCGAAAGTTTGAGATGGTGCCCGACCAATTCAAGACAAGGGTGACAAGGACTGAAAGGTTGATTGGGAGATATAGACTGCCCGCCTAAGATTTGAGCGGTTCCTATCATCCTCTTAGCTTATTCAAGGAATCTCGACGGATTCGTCCACGTCAGGTTAGTACCGGTGGCCATTTGAGAAGATAGCAAGTTCCGTCCGCCACATATTTATTTTTTTTCCCTGCCAGCACAAGCATGGCAGGTAAATGCATGCCCTCGAGCTGTCCCTGGTGGTTCCTAGACTACTACGTCATCTTCTTTGTTGGTGGTTAGATTTTTCTTAGATTCGTGCTAACACATTTTTTATGTACATGTATAATTGTATATGATGTTATATAGATAATACTACAATACTTTGTGTAAGGCTTGATATACATGTTTTGTGTCGAACATGTATGTTGTTTATAGTGCACTTATAGTACATTACATGACACTATTATATCACTATTAAAAGATATAAGTATATAATGTACCTTTGTTATATTTGCTACGAAAATTAACTGAAAACTGTATAACAGCTTCAAATTATTTTTGGCTTGCTTTGTCAAATCCATCAACATGTTTGCAACATCAAGCCACTTGATTGAATTAGTATTTTGGTAATATAAATTTTCATGAATGAAAAGATAACTATTGAGTAAGAGAAGACTCAAACAAACTTAAAATTGAAATCAATTTCCACATACAATTTTGCAAATTGTGGCAACTTCACAATTAAGCAATATTATATAATAATAAAAAGAAAATTACATTATTAGACAATTGTCAATAATTTAGAGCTATCGAATGGCAATAACAGAATTATAGAGATGTATCATCAATTTCTTCTCAAAGTCTCCACCTCTCAACCCCGCCTGCCTAGCCTTCGGAATCCGGCGATCCCACACCGCCCCGCCAGCACCACCGCCTCCGGCCAGCATCAGCATGACGTTCATGTAAGCATCCCTCAACTTCGCCATCATTTTCCGGGAAGATTTCGGAAAACATAGCCTCTTCAGTCTCAGCGCCGGTCGCGTGATCATAGCCTTCAATGATTGCCGACACCTATTGCCGCCGCCGCCGAGCCTCACAACGGCTACCTTTCGAGTGGCCGGCAAGTCCTCTAATCTCCTGTATGCTCGCTGGCGCCAGTAGAACTTCAAGCTTTTGATGGCCTCCATTTGAGTAGCTCTCTTTTCTTCCTTTATTAGCTTGATAAGAATCAACGATGGCTTCTGTATTTAAAGCTGTTCGTGCTTTTTTTTTTTTAATTAAAGCGGTCAAAATTGACATGTGGACTTTGTCTTCTTACTAATTCAACGTGAATGTGGGTCCAGTCGTATGTTTTTTGTTGACCGCTAGCTATTAAGCACTTGCTTTATAAATTAATATTGTTTAATTTGTTAGCCGCGCAGAAAGGGCTCAATTATTGTGCAAGTTGATGATTTCACAAATTGGGACTCTATTCATAGATGCACATTAAAATTAACGCTATAAATTTGATAATATATATATCTATATTGTATGCATCAACACTATCAGCATAAATCTCAAAACAATCGAGGAGTAGATAATCAATGCATCATATCGTCCAACAAGCAAACACATGATCAGAATCGAATGACACTATTGCGAGAGATTTATTCGATAGACCACGCCTGCAATCCCAACTAACCAAGAAGCATGCAAGAGCAATTGATCTCAAGCTAGTTGGCCGACCCGCTTTTACTATAATCGACCAACATTTATTTTGCGGTCGTCACTCAACCAGTCGTCCCACCTAACCTAATTTAAACAGGTCGACCAACCAATTACCGCCATATTAGAATTTAAATTGTAATACATTTATGTTGTAAAATCTATACAACTAATTATAGTGTCAATTGTATTTGGAGAACAGTTTCCATAATTGTTCTATACTTTTTATAATCGTACAAATACACTCCTATAAATATGAGGCAAAAAAAAGAATGAATGAACTTCTCTCCCTCGGCTCACTCGACGGTGAACTCTTGACTTATTCTACTCTCTCTTTCTCTTTCTCTTTCTTTCTTCATCCGGTTCTAACTCTTGTTGCGTGAAACATATATATATATATATATATATATATATATAAAGACACAAATATACAGATTATTAATACCAAAGACAAAAAACTACTCCAGAGAGAGTAGAAGCCGCATCAGAGCTGATAAAACCATATGATCATTATCATTATTGACTAACATTTCCAGCTTTGTTTTAGAGCACCTGATTGGTATTTAACTCGGTAACATCCTTGCCAAGTTTTCTTTCATTTTTACCAGGAAAGTAAAAAAGCTTCAAAAGAAATACTCACAGCTTGATTCTTAGGAGTTAATTTACAAGACAATTATATATCAGTAAAAGAGGTTACCATACGATTCCTTTCTATTAAAATATCAAACACCTAAAATTTAATGAGATATTTTTGATGTGAAATTAAGAATTATTGTTATTACAAAATTATTTTGTACGGTACCACAGGGTCGTTGTCCCTGCACTCCCAACCCACTTAACGAAACTCTCCCAATTGGACAAATACTTCCGCTTCGCTCCGCTCCAGCATCTGTCTCTTATCTGGTATATGAGTCATACCGAACAAAACTAATTTAGCAATTCAAATATTTACGCATTATTCACTATATAGTGTGGTTGCAAATTCATTTACTGGTTGCATAAATTTATATACTAAACATGTTTTTTTTTTGCCAAGTTGTAATAATTTTATTGACTACAATATTTTAATTCTTAGTTTGATCTATTCAGACGAATTATCTTTCTTGTGAACTCATATTTATGGGATACATTAAATATTGTAATGTATTTGTTATGAACATTGTAGTTACATTTTACCAGATAAGTTAATATAACTTCAGAGCCATCAGAATTTCTATATGTTCTTTATGGTAATGATGTGTATCTAAGCATGTTATTTCGATTCATAGGCAACTAATGCTATCAATTCCAATTGAGTGTGTTCTATTTGACATATCTTAAATATTTATATTCATTCGATCTCTGCTTCTATTTTTACTTTCTCATCTCTTTTTTGTATGGTAATATACTTATTTCTGCTTTTATCCTTCATAAATTAGCTGCATTTAATTTTTCTTGGATGACTCATAATGTCTGAGGAAATGTCAGACAATCATGGTGATGATTACAACGAGGAATGTTTGCCAACTAATGAGCAAATGGGATATGCTCAATTGTGGAGCGTATTTTAAATACCACAATAACATGTTTGATCGCTATTACTATGCACGATATATGAATAAGAGTCTATGTTGGAGTTCAACTCATACTGGGGATAAATGGGTACATAAACTTTTATATGAACATCCCGTGAGATTTCAAAATATGTTCATAATGTCACAAGTAATATTTATTGACTTGCTTAACTTGCTCGAATCATCTTATGGTTTATATGGATCACAAAGAACAACGTCTAGAGAAGTAATTGCGATTACATTATACATTATGATGCATAATGAATTTATTAGAGCCACATTTGAATGTTTCCAACATTCAACGGAAACAATAAGTAGGTATTTTTATATCGGCCTTCAGGCATTAAGTAATGTATCCCATTGATAGTCAATTTCATGATATTATAAGTTATTAAATTGACTATTAACTTAACCAAAAATAGCGTCTTATTGTGGTTGCAACGATGACAATACATAACTACATACATAGGCATCTGTCACAAATTGATCCAAAATTTGAGGCATGTAATGTTGATGACCAGTTTATTCATCCAGAGGCACATGAAGTTAGAGTGAATAAAATGAACATTAATGCAAATAAAGACATGAATTATGGGGAAGGTGCAAAGGATATGATTCAGCTCAGAGCTAGTATTGCATAACTACATACATAGGCATCTGTCACAAATTGATCCAAAATTTGAGGCATGTAATGTTGATGACCAATTTATTCATCCAGAGGCACATGAAGTTAGAGTGAATATAATGAACATTAATGCAAATAAAGACATGAATGATGGGGAAGGTGCGAAGGATATGATTCAGCTCAGAGCTAGTATTGTTGTTATGTTGGATTTTCGTAAAATGCTATTCTACTTTTTGGGCTTATTTTAAGCCCTAACAAAATGGCTAAGTTATGCCATGAAGATTCACAATGCCTTATATAAATATAGAATTTTTGTTAGACATAATTCAAGCTAAAGTGTCAAAATAGTCTATGACTATTTAATTGGGTTGTTTTAGACTCAGATTTATAGAAGTGTCAAAATAGTCCACAAATTATTTAAATTGGCAGTAAAATAGTCTCCACGGAGAACTACTAAATCTCTTCTAAATTTTAAGTATAACTTATTATCATATTGGCCTGACTATAGGGCTCTCAAAACGGCTCGTTGTTCGCGGACAGCTCGTGTTCGACTCGTTAAGAAGCACGTGTTCGGCTCGTTAATTTCGTTCGATAAGTTAATGAGCCGGACACGAACTAAGATGTCTTCGTTCGTGTTCGGCTCGTTTTGGCTTGAAATACTACTCATCTAGTTTATGTTTATATATATATATATATAAAGTAGTATTTTAAAAAATCTAATTGACTACAAGGCTACAAAGATTTATAATCAATTAAAATATTGATTAAGAAAATAGAATAAAAATTATTAAATTAGATTCAAATGATGTTTTAATATAAATAATAGTTTTTAAATCTGGCACAAATCCTTATTGTCTTATGTCTTATGACTACATTATTAAGGTTGTTAAAAGGACTCTTTGTTCGTGAACAGCTCATGTTCGGCTCGTTAAGCTAACGAGTCAAACACAAACACACTTTTTGAGCTCGAAATATAAACGAGCCTCGTTTACACCCCTAGTTGTAATTGAATTGTCAAATAATTTTTACTTTTGTAAACTTCAATTGTGTGAAGTACATACTAGTATTCTTTGATTTTGGGGATTACGTGATATACTCCCCAAGCTCCTTTGAGAAAGTTATATTTTTGAATGCATTTTGTTGTACGAAAGAGGATGTGATGTATTCCTCAAATGAGGGATCACCCCACCCTCATCCCTACATACAAACACATGTGCGCACAAACACACACTTTTTTTACACATTCTCGAGTTGCTTGCTAGTTTTGCAAGACTACTTTAAGCTTAACTGTCTTTTTTTGTCAGAAATTTACCTACCTATCACACATTTCTCATGCATTAACATATTTTATCAATACGTCAAAGAAGGGAATGTATGATCCCTTTGGCATCGACTAATTCGAAGCCTTTTGTTATGTTTCCTTTAAATGAAAGTTGTCTTGATTTTCGTCTTTTTATTGACTAAATTAAGCTTTTGTTGTTGTTGATTTTCTCTTAATAAATCTTTTTGCATAATTAAATGTGCCTTTATAGAGGTTAAAGATAAAGCAAAAACAAATCATTGTTGAAAGAATCAAATAAGAATATTGTAATAAACTTTTGGTGCATTTACATAAATACCGCAAAATTCTTATGTGTTTACATATCTACCAATGCCAATGTATTCCCATATCTACAACCTAAACTTTATTCATTTATCCCATCCAAACTTTTCATTTCCCACTAAAAGTTCCACCATTTTATGCATGTTGCTTAGGGGGCATGTATGTACCAATTGAAGTTTATGGGTAAGATATTGGTATGGCATGATACTTTATTTGTTGGGTTTTCTTATTTAAAGTTTAGAACTTGCAGAAGAATCAAATACACCTTTTCATGCATAGCTTATGATTCACGAATAAAGCCAATATTGTAAGGTAACAACATATAAATAGTGACAGAAAATGTGTGAAATCATGGCTAGCACAACCCATCACTTGCCATCACAATCTGGTGCATTCCAAAGTGTTACACTAACTTCAAAATCCCATTAAAAAAACCACTAGCATTAGCTTTTTTTTAAGTGAAATAAACCTTCTCATGCTTTTATTTTGTTATAATTTATATGCTATTAGTGCTATATAAATAAATGTAAAAAAATTGGTGTTAGATATGTAAATACATAGGAATTCTGAGGTAAAAATCTAAAAGCATTTAAAACATGATTTATGCTAAAATGATTTTTTTTTATTTTTCTTAAAAAAATAATGCAATTGTTTTCATGAAATTGTACATTATGTCAGCGTTTAAAAAATCAAACTAAACCGGCTAGTGGTCCGGT